AATTTACTATGCAGGGCTAGAAAACTATGCAGGGCTAGAAAATGATTTAAAGCTTCTAAACTTAAAAATATGTTTTAATGTAGTATGATAAGTGCTACTGTTTTTTTTCATTGATCTTATTTTAATTACCTTTTTAGACAATTATGTTATAATGAATTTTTTTTTCTTTAATGGTGAAATACTGATGTTTAAATAATGATGTTTAATTACCATTTTAAATATTTTTTCTCATATTGGAAAACTATTATTATTACAGTGTTAAACTTGATTTCTGTGCTGTAACACAATTTGGTTATAACTGATTTGATGATATTTATATGATGATTGATGTGGCTAGTTTGATATTCATATTTTCAAATGTATTATTAGCTGAATACATCATGTAGGTTCTATTATTGTTGAGGTACTGGTTAATTTTTTTTTGTTGGTGAGGATATTTCTAAAATATATAATATGTAGTTAATTTATGATTCCTGATTTTACTGTAATAATTTGATATGTTTTTTGTTATGCCTTCATTTTTGTTGGAGTATTCTACTGTAATGTAATGCAGATAATTTGTTTTTCTTTAAATTTTTTTTCTCTTATTGTTAGTCCGTCGAGGACGACGTACGGGCGTCCCTATGCATTTCCATAGGGAAATTCCTGTTGTTTAATCGGATTAAACAGTAGCGATAAGCTCGTTGTTACTCCTTCTATTTTATTTTCTCCATGATTATACCTTCTTTATGTAATGTCCTTTGTTCTAGAATACATTCTTTCTTTGTCTAGTTTTAATTAATAAACCTTACCATATCCTGTGTCCCTTCCACCCCCTGTAGTCAATCCTTTTCACACCTATTTCTATATTGTTAATCCCTTAAACCCACATGGTAAACCATTCTTGTAGATAAGACAACTCTTCTATTTAAGTGCCTGCTTTTGTACATCCAGTCTGAGTCTTGAATTGGTGATTGTCGAATAAACGTCTCAACTTTCTGACATATACATTGTTGTACTGACTCTGTATGTTATAGTATGTTTCAGTTATAGTCTATACCCGTTACACATTTGGAAGTTCCACTGAGATTTAGTATAGACGTCAAGCTGAACATGTTTGACGAAAGCGAAGTTGAGAGTCGATCATCATGGATGAGGAGAGGCAGAATAAGATAAACGCTGGACGTAAACTCTTGTTAAAATTTCAGAAGAAAAGCAAAACCTATAATGATGAGGAGAGGAAAAAGAAAATACAAAATGGACGTCAAATACTACTAAAATCTCTAGAGAACAAGGCAAAAACTGTGAAACTTGATGTACATATCGAAGAGCTAAACCATCTGAATAAAAACGGTGTACGGTAAGAATGGCCCCGGAAAAAATGGCCCCGGAAAAAATGGCCCCGGAAATAATGGCCCCGGAAAAAATGGCCCCGGTAAAAATGGCCCCATATGACAGGTAGGTAAAAATGGCCCCAATAATCAAATTCTGAATTAAAACAGATTTTCTTGAGTCATTATATGCATTTTTTTTATCTTAACTAATTTAGTTTTTAAAAGGAATCTCCCCAATAATCAAATTCTGTAACACACAATTGATCCACATGCTTTAAATGCTGTTTATTTGCATTGTTTATAACATGTAAAGTTAATTCATTTGATATTTAACAAAAGCGAAGTTTGTGGTTATCTATGAGTTGCATATTTTGGTAAAGTATTGTATACTGTATGTCATTCCTCTACTTTGTTAGTGAAATAACGTTTTTAAACTTTTATTTCTACTATCAAAAAATGTTATTCAATGGCCATTGTTTTTCAATTATCTCTCAGAAATTATTTGCATCTGCTGTAATTGTTAAAAAACAAATGCTTTTAAAGAAATTAAAAAAAATCACATATTGATCTCAGTTCAAAGGAAAAAATAAAACTTATTTCTAAATTTACAATTTTCTCCTATAAACCTCTTAATTTCACAAAAGAGTGGGTTCTTTTTCAAACAAATACATCCTGCCTAATATATGTGTGTTTAGATTAGATCTTTTGCTTTAACTTTGGAAACTGAGATCATATTAGATACTATTCTCTTATACTTTTTCATATTACTGTAAACCTAATGGGTTTTGATAAATTTACTCTGCACTACGGAATTTCCAATAAAAAAAAGAAAATTAATTAAAAAGACCATAGATTAAAAATAAGTAAGGCATAACATATTTTAATCTATGTTAAAGCATAACTATTTTTACATAATGAAATTTAGTAAATCAAATTATTATTTGTGGCTTTTATTTATTAAATCAATTAAGAACATAATCTCAAAACAAAATTTAATGACAAGAAAGATCGACGTTTCGGGTCCATCATGGAACCATTCTCAAGATCAAGTAAATTGAAAAAAACTAAAAACAAACATGCCAAGCAGTGACAGGAAGTAAGCTGTCTCTTATACACATCTAGATGTGTATAAGAGACAGGCATCTGCTGTAATTGTTAAAAAACAAATGCTTTTAAAGAAATAAAAAAAAA